ACAGCTGCACATGTGATCTAGTGATTGGATCCTGCCCTATGACTATGACTCCCTATTATTCTCTGGTTTTCTTGCTAATACACAAAAGTCATTAGTTGACATAGAGGATATTTTTTCCTAAAATCACTCTGTGACATGGACAGATTCTTTTCTTGTCTGTCTCAGCCACCACAGACAAAAGACAAAATATTCCTTGCAAATACATGAAAAATGCTTCATGAAAAAGGAGTACTGGAGTAAAAAATAAATAGAAAAGAAAGAAAGCAATGCAAATTGAAGCAGGAAAATCCATTGGTATGTCTTAAAAAGCATGAACACTATCAGCTAAAATAAGAAAACAATTAGGAAGGGATTTAGATTCCGTACACGTGAGAAATAATACAACAACCTGCTAATTGGAGACAGTGCTATTCAAATGTTACTGATGAACAAAGACTGGTACATAATTATGTGAAAGGAGGGGGAGGTTACAAGAAACGCTTCAGTCTAGTAGACTGAGCCCCAGCTGAGGAAAAGCTAAAACAATAACCATGAAAACAAGCATTAATAAACTACTGTCACTGTACAAAGAGGATAAAGAAGAACATGTTTGTTTACACAATGAGCTCAATTTTTGTCTAAAGACAGACCTACCTTTCACGAGAGAGTCGTATACAGATATACATAGTATGGATACACATATGTCCTATAAAAATATCATCACAGTTTGTAATTTTGAAAACGTGAGCTGGGGGAACTTACATATGATTATTTGTTTTTAATTACTAATATGCTTCTTTAAAATTTAATTGTGACTACAGAAAACAAATGCTCAGATCTGGCTTCTGGTGCCTGTGTTGCCATTAATAATCACTGGTTTCTATCCTCAAGAGATAGAAAAAGCAAGAAACCTCATGTAACAGGGATGTTGTAAAAAGAAATTCATTAATACTGTATTTGCAGAGCACTCAGATACCACAGTGAGAAACAGCACAGAAAGGCGTATGAGGAAATTAATCATTCTGCATTCAGTGCAGGATCTGGCAGATGTGCAATGAAGAAAGCCTAGAGACATACATTAAATATGAAGATAAAAAAAGATTCTAGCCATTACCAGCAGAAATAATATCCCCTGAATGAACATCAGTTGCCTTAGGCATTAAATGTTTGATGTATTCTCATTCAATATAAGGGAAAACCCTCTGATTAATATGCTAATATTACCACAAGTACCAGCCAGGTATTCTGTGCAAAATACAGAATCTGATAACATAATTGAAGTCTATCATAAATATATGATATGGGATTAGTATTTCCTTATTTTTTCATGCTTAGTTTTGCAACTAAATAACACTCCCACAGTCCAGCAATTATTGGCAAATGTACATTATCTCAGCAGTCAGAGAATCCTGCCACCACAGCTGACACAGTATGGTATGTGTTAGCACAATAAATCAATCCGTGTTTCACACTGCAGCCACTAGACTCCTGTAATCAAGCTCCCCTGCTTTACAGCTACCTCAAGTAAGTCAGGAGAGCATAGACAGGGCAAAAAAAATTACTGGAGTGATGAAAAACCTGCAGGTTCACAGCTAGCTCAGATGTCTGCACTAGCATTGCAACTGTGAATTACTAATTTTATTTCACTCCACATCAGTTCAGTTCTGCTCCCCCTCCACATAAGTAATTTATCTTACCCCACCAGCCCACATTTGAAGTCAGATTTCAACCTTCTCCTCTATTAATCAATAGGGACAGCTGCTTCATAGGAAGGATGTGTGGAGAGGACTTTAGGTAGGATGCACTGTTGTGGCGGAAAAGATCTATAAAAACATCTTTCTACAGTTCTTCAGAAATAGGGAGAAGAGGCAAGGGGACTCAATGCATGACTGTCCAGTAAAAGGAAAGATGTGCTGAAATAATATGTCTGGCAGAAATAGTCTCAAGACCTGTGTTAAGATGCAGCAGTACAGGAGCCTACCATGGTTCCTTGTACAAAAAAGCCAGAACTGCATGAAAACATATGGATGACAAAGTACTGCTCTTCAAGCAATCCCATGTATTTAAACTGATTCTGCTTTGCTGAGGCTGCTTAAAGCAGCTAGGGCATGCTACCTGAAGATTCCCTTGAGGTTCCTGGGCAATATATTAACAGGTATATCCATGGCCAACAGCCAAATTATCCCTCGTCCCGGCCCTAGGAACCAGTCTGCACCACATGAGGGCACTGCCCAGGGGTTCTGATCACTCTGTTGAAAAGAAAGGCAAAACTCTTCCACCCTCTTCATGCAATAGGAATTCTCTCTCATATTCAGTAGAACAGTTTGGAGACAGTCTGACTTGTGCATACAATCTGCCTTGGAAAGAAGAGCCAAACCTATGCCCACCTATCAAGGTGAAGGCAGACTCAGACAGGCGTGAAATTCCCAGAGTCCCAGTGGCTGTGTATGTGCTTTCTGTCCATACTGCCCATGGCTTGGGTGCCAAGCATGTTTGCTGCTTAGGATCAATCAGAGTCATTTATCAGCTGAGGAACCCCAGAGTAGTGCTTGGTCTGTGCTGCCTAATTCAGACTGACACCACAAGTCGGGGTTTGGGTCTGCTCAGACAAATGTATTTTGGTTCTCCATCCTGAGATGCTTCACAGCTTGGCTGAGCCACTGACTTTTTTTTACTCCTTTCTTCACCAAGAGAAGGGTCAAGGGTGTTAAAAAGGGTGCATGGCATATTTTAAAGACAAATCCAACCAGTTGCAGGGAAAAAAAAAAAAAAAGAGTTGTCTTCATGAATATAAGTCCAAGTGATAATGCACAATTCCCTTCCAATGATCAGTTCTGACAGATTTCAGAGGATGCAGGTGGCCAGCCCCTCACAAACTAAAAGATTAATAATTTTAGTAGATAGCTTTTCCAGGACAGCATAGCAAAGATTAATGTTATCTAGGTTTCTTTTTAAGTTAGCCTCACACTTAGCTTCTATTTGACACAAACAGGACATACCATAAACTGCTCATACAAGGTCTACTCATTTCAACATAAAATTAAGACAACTAAATCTGACTGAATCAAAATGAATTTATTTCTTTTCAGGAATGCGAAACCAAAGAAAGATTTATCTAACTTCCATGGAGATAAAAAACAAACAGCAAACCTAAATGAGTGAAGGAATTGCAACAGAGCTGGCAATCACCTTGCCATAACCAAGACATTCTAATAAAAAATATCAGCGCAGAAATTAGCAGACCAAAACATGGAATGAGAAAAAAAATCATAGAGGGAAAATCTAGAAGTTGCAACATTGATGTTTGAGAAAGGCCAATAGTACACAATGATATATACAATTCTAGAGTTCGAAGATGATGACAACAAAACTCACAAGAATTACTAGCAACTTTCTCCAATCCTTTGTTTGTATATTTATATGTGTAGAGCACAAACATATTGATAATTTCATTTAAATACTGTAAGATTTCCCGTCTCAGAAATCTAAAAAAGTCATAAGGGAAACTGAAGCTAGCAAAATTGTAAAAGCCTGTGTTCTGGGATTTTTTTAAGCTCACAGGTTAGATTAATTCCCACATAAATAGAAGGAAGTGTTAAAATATTACTCCTCCTTTTCTAGCTCAAAATTTCTCTTCTTTTTTTTTATTAAATATAATTATTTTTGGTATTGGGTATTTTTAATAAATGATACTTAAAATATCTGTTGCCAGTACAGTGATATGAATGTATAGGCCTACCTCTCCTATTCTCTGACTCATAGGAAATTGGGATATTAGAATCACAGGGAAAAGAATCAACTTTTCAAAAGATAATTTCACTGACATTGACATTAAAATACCTGTTTCCTTTTGAACACATCAGAAAAAGACATTCCACATATATCTGACAAAGTATTTGATATATTCTTACTGGTTATCAAAGGATCAATATCTCTTTTGGTTATGTAGCACATATCATCAAATCCCTGGATAGGTAGTGTCATGAAATGAGGAGGATTTATACTTATTATTTAATTAAATTTAAGTTTATTAAATTTAAATAATATGTCAATCTTGATTAAAAGCTGATTTCCCTCAGAGATAAGGACTTCCATTAATAATATTCTTTTGCTTGTGCAGTGAGGAGATTACAAGGAATTTAAACAAATATAGATTGAGTTTTGTGGGAAGAGGGTGCCCTTTATTCTTCACCATGAGCAGTCATGCTATGTTAGGGTGCTACTACACAGATCAACTCCTTTGCCTAATTAAATTTTTTAGAGTTCCCTTTGTGACCCATACAGGTATCCTTGTCAAAAATGATCACCATCAAAACACATTCTTTTTGATCTTTGAAAAGTGTATCTTACCCTTAAAATCATGCTTTTCTCAGATATAGATAACTAAGAGTGTATGAGATTGCTGGAACACCCAAGAGAGACTAATTTCTTTCAGCAACTCTTGAATTCCCTTTACTATTTTTCCACACAGTTTTACATAAAGCAAGTTCATTCATGTAGTGCCAATGTGCAATCCCTCTTTGGATAGGGATTTTTGAGCCTGAAAATAACAATTAGGAAAGTAGAGACCAAAGAAATATAAATAACACAAAGAACCTTGTCAGCTGGTTAAATCTGACCAATGGTCTATTTTCCAGTGCTTCAGGATCATCAGTACCATACACATGTTGGTTTATTAATTTTCTTTGCTATTGTTCAAAAGAGGAAAAGCATCTTGTCCCACAAGGTATTAGTGCAGACTCTCAGGTTATGTTGTCTACTGTTAAAATGAGCACAGGGAATTTAAACACCTCTCTAACACACTGCCTTTTTGTTTGCTTGCAAACTGCAATCATCAGCTACAGTAACAGTTTCGGAGTTCTGACACCTGTGAACCAGAGAAAGCTGAAGGATTTCAGAGTGTGGGGAAGGTCATAGTGCAGTACCAGTATTGTGCATTTTATGCACCAAGTCTGCATTTTAAATAACAGGAGCGTCACACAACAGACAATGGCAGAACGACATAAGGGCCTTGGTCTTACCCTTTGTTTTCAAGTCGTTTAATACCTTTGATTCCACGGGCAGTTTATCGCTCACTAGTTTTATCTCAATATTTCGGGACGCCAGTTCAAGCAGTTTTTCAAATAGACGCAGACCCTGGGAAGGACATTAAAGAAAAGCAGAAGCTTTTAGACACAGAATTGATCAAATTGCATATCAACAAATTAAAAAAGCATGTTAAAACAAAAAAAATTATAAACAACACCTAACCTACCCTAAAGCTTTGCAACTCAATTTCATTTTCTTGGAGAAATACTGTTCTTGAAGGCCAATAAAGTTTCTTACTTTTCCCGGAATGTGCAATATTGACAAGGTGACAGGTGTTAGGCAGAAAATGAAGTGTCCAGGGGTTTTATGCTGCATAAGCACATTTTGACATTAACTTTCTTCTAAATAATCACAGTCTATTGACTTAGTATTAAAAGCTCAAGGAAAACAGTTTATTACATTTTTTTCTGTATTGAGTGATATTTTTGCAAGTGGTTCTAAACACAGTACAACACATTTCCAAGTAGTTGCATGCTTGTCTTCAGATGAGTTATACCAAGAAGGAAAATAATTACCTATAGGTATTTTATGAGCATTTAATTTTTATGCTGCTGTAAACTTTTACTTTTTAAACCCTATTTCTAACACAGAACAAGAAAAGGAAAGTCATACTGAGCCGGATACATGTCAAAACAGAAATTTCATATAAAAAAAAAATTGTTCATCATGTTTTTCCATATCCAAGAAAAAAAAAACTAGGAGTGAAACTTCTGATTGCATTGTAAATGTTTAAATTTTAGGTTGAATATTTTAAATTAAATTAAAAATTTTAGTAACATCCAACTAGACCATGTGAAGAATAAACTCCTGTGCTGTTACTACACTTACAACCAGAGCTCACTTCCTTGATGCTATTCTAACCTAGTACTGCAGACACCACATTCAATTAGCAGTAGAATACTTTGGGCTTATGCACCTGACAAAATGCCTTCCCCACCTACACAGTTCACTTGAGATTCAATGCATTGTTTGTCCCAGGGTGAACAAAAAACAAAAAAGCAATAGCTACACATCATCTTTCAAACAAACAGGTAGAAGATAAAGCTCTTCACAGAAACATGTTACATAACTCTCTGTACAAACTAAGAATCTTAAAATGATCCTTCCATTCAACAAAAATGACCCAACCAAGAGCAGTTCAGGCTGATATAATACGATGCAGCATGGACCAACAAAACCTCAGACAAAGGCCCTCCCCTCACTCTGAAAACTAGCAGCAGAGAGTGGAAAGCCTAGAAATTTGCCCTGTAATTGCCTAGACAGATTGATACTTTGAGCTTTGCTGGGCTTTAAGCATTATGCAGTCACAGAAAGTAGTGCTTCCCCTGTTTAAAGTACAGACCTATTTTTTAATATCCATTTATTTTGAATATATGTGGCAAAATAAAAATACCATCCCCCTAAAATATAGCTTTCTCAAAATTACCAATGCTCCAGAGGCTGCAATGGAAACAGAACTGCTGCTTGTTTTACTTTTGTAATGTATGCCTGCTTGCTCACTCAAATCCATAGTACAGCTCCCTGCTCATCCTAGGGCTCACAAGAACCTCACAGTCAACACAATGCTGCTATAGTGAAAGCATTAAAGAATAGCTAAGAGAACAGAAAACAAAAACATTCCTTGCATGAAGTTCCAAATGCTTCTTTTACTCAGATTCAGCATTTCTCAAGATGACTAGGTGGTTCCATATGTAAGAAATACCATCCATGATTTTAACTCACACACCCCAGAGTCCTGAGCTGCTCTTTTAGTTTAAGGAGTGGCTTTCCCTCACATACCTCATCAAGCTAAAAAAAGTCCTTAATTGTTACACCAGAGATTGTGTTTGGTCTTTTTAAGAAAAAGAGCAGATGCTAGAGAATTTAAGAATTAATGAGATAAGAGTGTGGAGGAGATGGATGCTCCATATAGAGTCATGCAGCTGCTCCAGCATGATTCTGGAGGAGCAGAGGTGCACTGGCTGGTGTTCCTGAGTGCCCTGCTCCCTCCAAGAGGGTTTCTCATGCAACTGCTACTGTCTGGCACTGCTAGACTCCAATCAAATCTGGGAACAGCCATGGCTGTCCTGCTGTCTGCTGAATTCCCAATCCTTGCTTTGCCCCATCCCCCAGCTACCCTGAAGCATCAGGCTCTGGCATGTCAGAGCTCAGCCAGCCTTTGGATATGCTTCAAATATTACAGCCCATTTGGTTTTCATTAGCTACATCTTTGCAAAAGTCAGCTGGGAAATTCAAGGATTAAAAGGTTTGCATTATGCATACTAACTAATATACATGCAAGTAGAAAAGGTATTCAGGTTCTATGTGTTGATTCCATTTACTAGATAGACAGATAAACACCATTTTTGTTTAGGTTATCTGTAAAAACTGATTTTGTCTAGAAGAACAGCAGAAAACTCTGGCATACAGAAATAAACATGGAAAATGCATTCATAAATTAGATGGAAAATTATTATAATTATCAATACAAATTAATAGGTTAACTGTTCTGACAAAGAAATGCTTAGAAAGTTAATGTCTAAAACTGATAAAATAAATTGCTTCAGGGGATGGCTCCTAATTTAATATAGGGAACTACAGTAGTTATTTTTGGATATTATTGTCACTTCCACCTGCAGGAGACTATATTCACGTACAATTTATAAAAGCTTTGACAAACAAGCCTGGACATTCTGTATTAATTGCAGTTTGGACAAAAAAGAATTTGGCAGCACCTCCTGAGTTTTTCCTGATGTAACCAACACAGCTGTCTCCTACAGGCCATGCTGCCTTCTGAACAGCCCATCCTATGGGTTCATAGATTGCCTGGAGTGCAGCCCTGCATTTCAATGAAACCGTCCCCTCTGGAAATGCATCTGTTTTCCCATCAGGGACACCACAAGCTATCCAATTATGGCATTTTTTTTCAATCATATTTATGAATGGTAAAACCTCAGATTGATTCAACATTTAAAGCATCTCTAAGTATGATGGTTAAAACCAGGAGTGCACATGCCACAAATATTTGTGTTTATACAGGTACATAAAAACCACCACCTGTTACAAAATTGGAAAGAATTCCCTTTGTCTCACCTGTCACTGCATCATCCCTCAGCAGGCATTCACACCCCCAAGGCTTAAGGTTGATGAACCAAACTATGAAAAATTCACAACTTGCTTTTAAAAGCAAGTACATACTCCAGTAAATAGGGCTACTAGAAATTCTTCCCACACTGCTGAAGAACCTAGACTACTTCTCCATTAATATTAATTTGAAACTCAGTTTCTACACTTTCTGACATGTTTACTTGCAATTTTACTGGTTTGTTCTATGAAAAGGAAAAAAGATGGGACAGAAGGTCTGAAATGTTTTGTTACTGCTGTCAGAACATTTGAAATGCTTCTGTTGAATACAAACCCTTATGCTGTCATTCAGACCACATTCCCTTTGTGAGACAACACCAGGCTGCTGCACCACTACGTGACAGTGATCAGAAGCACTGCTATAAACCCAGCTTGGGAGGACTGAGAATAGGAGCAGCCAAGTGCTATGAAACTGTGGCTACCTTGTAGCAAAATCTGCATTTTAACAAACAATACCACCAGAAATCTGCTTATCCTGATAAAATATTCTCTTACACTTTTTGCTGGCCTGTTTGAAAAACACCAAAAGTGACAAAATAGAATGTAGTAAGTATTTATCACATGAAAAAAATTACTTTTGCATGGTGGCTTTAAACCAACATAAATCTCAAACATCAGTTTGAACTGTACCTGCCACAGAAAACTGGTGAATTAAAATAACCCCAAAGCTGTCAATACCAAAAGGTCCTGAAATTTCCCCCAAAGCAATTTATTAGCAGAATCTAGACAGGTTGACTGCACCCTGGCTGATTTCCCTTGTCTGCTCTTGTCTCTGTCACCATAGGTTCCTCATTAGAAATAAAATGGGGAGATACAAACTGCTGTATTTACTGAAGGACTCAAATTGTATTATTGTATTCCTCAGTAAGATAAATTCCTGCAGTTTAGAAAACACTTATCTTTTTAATCCCACACAAAAAGCCTGGTTATCTCATAGACTTTTCTTCTGGTTTTATGTATATATTTCTACTATTTTTTCCAAGTTTTCCCATAATCCAGCCTCTGGGTGTATTTCTAAAACACCACTAAAAACCATAGCATTCTGGCAGAAACCAACAGAGCAAATAAATCAAGAAATCCTAACTTTTACAGCTGGTATTTAATAAAGAACAAAGAAACTTTAATGCTTTCCTCAGTTCTTCTAATCAAACAGCTAATGCAAAAGAAAGGAATATGCTTTCATTTTAAAAACCTTCCTTTCACTGAATTTATTTTCTACGCCTCAGTCAGTAAGGGAAACACCACCACCTGAAGAGGAGAGATGTTTATGTAAAGACAAGCTTGTATACCTCTATAGCTGATCCTATCCAATTTCCACTGGGAGCTGCTAGATTTGGAAATATACTTTTTTGTATTTATTTTTTAATAATTTTCAAGGAAGGAAACAAGTTCTTGCACTAACATTTGTTCTACCAAACAAATCACTTAAGCTCCTTGGGCAATGCATGTATGAGTGACTCATGGCATCTCACCAGAGATTCATTACAAAGCTGGACAGCTGCCTTACATCAGTATCAGATGGATGGGACTTCTCCCATCAAGCCATATAGAAAATGCATAGTAGCTTGGTGAATAAAATCAGAAGTATGTATTTTTTATGTGATACTTGTAAAAATCAGACCCAGATCTGCCCTTGATCATCTTATGTTTATCCAAATATCTATCCAGGGCCAACTGGGTCATACACATGGCAATACCAATAAGTCATGATGGCATTGATTCTGATCTGTGAAAAACAAACTGAAGTTTGTGAAGGACTTGCTGGAAATCTAAAAGGTCATTCTAAATTAAAGTTTCAAAACATAAGATGACCCAGAGGAAATGAACTGTGAAAATTGTGAACTGGAAGAATCTTGTATTCACCTCTCTTTGTACTGAAAGTGAATCAAAAGCCACCCTCAAAAAAAAAAGTTTCCCTTTTCCTCTACTATCTCTAAACATAGATTACCACAGGAAGAGCCACATACTCATATTTCACAAAAACCTCAGTGCTGCTACATGACAATCACTCTGCTATTTGAAAACACATATACGACAATACAAACTTCCCAAAATAGGTGGATTTTTTTCTGAATGAGACAAGTAGCATAGAGAGAACTCACTATTTGCCAAGCAAATACTTGTTTATTTAACTGCTTTATATGTTGAAGCACAGAAACACTGTTTCATCATGTGTCTGTCTTTACGGAATCCAATTTAGCAAAGCTCATCAACCCAGATGACTGAGCATGGCTGTTGTGACCTGGACAGCTCAGTTGTTAATGAATGTTTATTTAGATTTGTAACAACAAAACACAGACAAGCAAGAGTCAAGGACACCAGGTAACATACCCACAAACAAAAATACAGAAAAATACAGCAGGAAGTTTGCAATTTTATATATGCAAGTGTATACATATCTATGTATGTCCAATATACATTTGGACAAGACAGACAATATGTATACATACAGATAACACATATATTGGGCATATATTTGTATGTGTGCATACAAAGTTGCAGAATTTCCTGCTATGTAAATACTATGTATTTTTATTCAATATGTATATTGCCAATATGTGTGTGTACATGTACTCATGCATCTATGCATGGGACTACACAGATGTATATAGAGAATGTAATTAAACATTGTAACTAATTGTGAAAAAGAAAGCTAGCCAACTCTAGCTTTTCTCCTTCAAAAACCCATGTCTATTCAAGTGCTTTTGTGGAGAACCTTGCTCTCCAATACAACTTGAATATTCATACAATGGAAATTGCTAATTATGTAGCAGGATGTGGGTCCATATGGAAAATGGTTATGTCCTTAATTTCTAAAAACAACACTCCTTCAAGGAACAACTAGAACTCATCCACTAAGCACTCTACTACCTGGGAGTTTTGCATCTCATCCCCTTACCTTTCATAAGGCTTCTGCTATGCTGGGCAAATTTCCTCAAACTCAGATTGTAAAGACTTGAGAGCATTGGACTTATTCTTCAAACAATTACTAGATTATAGTTATTGAAACTTCTCTGAAATTTCACTTCCACTTCATGGAGTGGAGAAAGCAGATGTAACGATACAAATTTTCTCCCTTCCCTTTCACAGAGTGAGCTTTGTGTACATTCTCTGGGGCAGCAATTTGTTAAAAAACACTGCTTCTTGGCGATTTTTTAGCAATCAGACTGGCCAGTAACAATACAGTGTTTTAGCATGAATAGACAGGCTTGACAGAAAGATCTATCAGCTGTTCAGCCCACGCTGCTGTACAAATGAGAAAATGACTGGAATATTAATTGCTTTTAAACAGAAGTAATTACTCATTTTTGTAAGACTACTAGCAGGTAGAAAAAGATAGCTAGAATAGAGTATTATGAAAAATGTTTCATTTTTCTGGCTTCAACTGTGCATTTGAGGACAAAAGACCAAATCCACTTCTTAGACATCTCTTCTTCCTTTCCCTGCTGAATGGTATCTTAGAGTTTTTGCTTTGCAATGCGAATGTGGAAAAGGGAATGGATTTGATGCTTAAACACTGGAATCCCAATTTCAATTTTGCTATTTTATATCCTCTGTTTGGGATTTGTTAGGCTCTGCCAGTTTTGAAGCAAATGACATGCTGAATTTTTTTCAGACAAAATATTTTTGAAAGATTCATGCACATATCAATTCATGCACATTCTAGAAACATCTAAGGCCCTATCTCCTTGAATTCATCTGCTTGAATGACAGTACATGGGTTTGAAGCTTCTTAGGCAATAAATTTAAATAAAGCTTAGCTGCACAATTACATTGTGAAAAAGTCAATATTTTGATATTCCACATAAATTTATTCACAAGCCACATTCCGATATTTATAAACATTCTAAAATGTAGGATTTGCATTACATTTTCTATTCATCTGCTCACCGTATATTTTCAGTATTTTAAATGGACACGCAGCAAACTTTTTCTGAAGAAAATTTAATGCATGCTGCTCAACTAGGCTACAGTCTATTTCAAAAGAAGCAGAATATAGTTGGTGAGAATACCAGGATTTGCCTATCATCTACCAAAAGGCATTTTCCTACAGCACCGCACCAACAGAACTAGTGAGGAAAGCCAAGATTTATGCCATGGTAGAACAGAGTCGATTCCTTACAGCTAGCTGGCTGTCATTTTAGCACCATTTCATGTCAGCTGAGTGGCTCCTTTCAGCAAACTATCTAGTGGAAAAGAGAAGATACTCTCAGCCTATCCCTTCTTTGGTTCTTGGTTTCACAAGTGATGCTAAATGGAAACTTTTCCTGACCATATTTCTAAGAGGATTGCTCTCAAGAATGAAGTGTTTGTTGGCACAGCATCACTGCAATGCATGTCTGCCTTATTCACCATGATTTATGATTTTTCATGCTGTTTTTAATTGCAGAAGTCCTGAACACTGCTCCTTTGCAAGACTAATTTTGAAAACCTATGAATCATCTGATACAATATTGTTCTTTGTAAGTGTAATTCTATCCATCTATTTGGCTGGAGAATTAAACCAAATGCTTGCCTTTTTATTTAATCAGTAGCACCAAATAAAAAATAATTGTATAGATTTATGAATGTTACCAAATAGGTGGATGTGCTAATATAGATACAATTTGACAACTTTCTTAAGGTCACACAATGTCTTTCTTTCCTAAGATGGAAGTGCTATAAGTATATGTTGAATGTTACCTAGTCCAAGCACACCACTGCTCTTAGAAACTTTTGTGTTGGCAGGAAAATCCCCATAAGAAAATTATTTTTAGACTACCCAAACAAATAGTTCTGCTGCAGGGAAGGGTTTCAGTTCTGTAAAATTAAGTTTGACAACAAGAACAGACTGTTAAGGTCCCACTCTTGTTAGGCTAGAACATACCTGGCATGCTGATGGATGACTGTGATTGAGGTCCCACTGGGAAGATACTATGTCAACAGACTTTTCAGCCATATTAAGCAAATTCATCCAGCCTTGGAAAAGAGACAAATGGGATGGTGCACTGTCTGAATAGTTGATCCCTTCAGGAATATTTTCCACGAGAGCAACCCTGAGAATAGATAAGGAAAAAATAACCACTTAACAAAAGTACTTTTCTTCATTAGAAGGCTCCAAATTGTAAAGAACTTCAGATTTTGGGCCTGGGGTTGAACATCTGCTCCCAGAGGCTCTCAGCAGTTTGCCACCCTGTAACTCTGAAGCATCTGACTGTCATGCTCCACACTTCCCAGAACAATGAAGTGCAGAAATGACCTACTGCTAATGCAGCAAAGCCAATCAAGCTTTCAAAGCTCTGCAAAAATAGCTTACACAGGGAAAAGGTTATTTCTTACAACACAGTAAGTGGGAACTAGTCCTTAAGGTGAGCATGGGAAGAATGAAATGATCTCTTGCTTTGCCACTCTCATCTCTGAATATGTTTTCTTCTCTCTAAGGAATGTGGCAAGATTCACACTCCCTGGCATTCTCTTAGGTCTGCTTTTACAGCTGACATTTTATTACACTGATGTCTCTAAACATGAATTCTCCCTTTCCAACTGCTCTAAGCTACCCAATTTTACTGCTTTTGTTTACCTGTGTAAGGCTCTAACTGGGACCCGGTGGTTAAAAAAAGAATTATGACCCTTTAGTTTCTTGCTCTTTTTGGAAAGCTCTTTGTTCTTACTGTCTACAGTTTTCAAAACATTTTCAAATTAGAGTACACAAATTCATTTGGATACAATCACACCCAGGAAGCCAAACAAGCATTGTAGCAAACTGTCAGCTCAAAACATGCTCCTCTGCTTCAGGGAAATGATGTGTTTCATTCAGCACCCCACTGCTAGATTTCCTTAAACTGCAGCAGGTAAAGCTTCTTTCTACGCTCAGTAGAGGAATTTTAAAATGAAATAAAGTCAAACAAGTTCTTCAATTCTGTCTTTAGGTAAAGAGAATAAATTTTCATATAAATGCCTCCAACATCTGCCACTTCTACTGTGAATGATACAAACCAGATGTAGGAAAGCTGTAATAGGAACTTGGAAAACACTCCTCTACTATATACAAGTACATCAAGCATTTCCACACTGGTTTTGTACTTGTCAATAGCATTAATTATCAACTCCAGTAATATGAATATAATTTGTAAACTTTAAGTAAATCATTATTACAAAATTCCAGGGTAAAAGGGATTTGTACATGTTTTGACTCTTAGAAAAACAGATTAGTGCAGTATATACTATTAATTCAGTTCATCCTAGAGGGTTCACATGGAAACTTTTAGAGCTATTTTAGAATATCAAACATGTTTGTAAAGAGAACCCATTAAAAGACTGAAGATTGGTTCTCTTAAACAATGTTAAGAAAACCCAGCAGGAATTGTGATAAAGTAAACCCATGGTCATTATCACAATCTCCTGGCCTGGCAAAAAATCCCTCCACTCAAACCAGAACAGCACAGCTCCTCCTGGGTGTTCTCTTATTCCCCCAAATCTGTCAAACAATGTCACTAAGCTGCAATTACCAATGACACTCTCCACAACTTACTTTGAACACACTATTCTATTTATTAACATTTAACATAGCTACATTGCAGTAATGGAATTGGAAATCAGCAAATAAGCTGTAAAATGTAAAAAACACAACTAGATTTTTAAATGTCTTTAAAGTATATTTTATTCTAAAACATTCTACCTTCCTTGTTTGCAAACTTTCTGAAATAACTAGTGCTCTAAAATTGAGAGCCCTTTTAAAAATATTTAAAAATAAACTATTTTACTCTAACACTCAGATGTTCAGCCTTTTTTTTTTGCCAATAATCCTGTTACACAACTTCATAAAACTTTGGTTAGATCCCTTGAAAGCCTCGCTTGTTCTTTTTCAATAGTTAAAATTACAAATCATATTGCAGCTCTTAGCATGCCCATGTTTCCAGAACTTTTTTATGGAGAGTTGTATGATGGCCACCTACAAAGAGCAAGAAATTGAAGCTGAGAAGATAAAGTGATCTCTACAAGGACATGAAACCCCCCTCATAATCCAGTTGCAAAGATCAGAAATGAATGCACCTCTTTCTGAAATCTTCCATCCCCAACTCAATCACATCTAGATACAGTAAAGAGTTATTATGAATATGCTTCAAATACATTCTTAATACCAAATAATTTTTCAAAAATAAAATAATGGCAAATGCAGTTCTGATTTACCTAGAATTTAAAAGTGTGCATCACTTCCTTGAACAAGTAGTGACCAAAATTGCCCAACATCAGAATATTGCCTGACATACACAGTGTTTTCTAGTGAACCCATGCAAATTAATTACATAAGAGCCCACAAAATAAGTGATAGGAATTAATCTGTCACAGTCACTTCCAATGGCTTTTAGTAGTGTTTCCTATGGGCTGTACTTGTGTCTCACTCGAAAACATTAGCTTAATTTCCACTTCTCCTGTCTCTTTCTCTGCCAAGTTGAGAGCTGCCAAAAACCTAACTCTGCCACAGAAGGGCTAGGATGATCTGGAGGTCATGTAGCTTAACCCTCCTTGTTAAAGGAGGGCCAATGCCAACAGGTTGATCAGGACACTATCCAGTCAGGTTTTTGTATATCTCCAGTATCTCCAAACCCAAAACTCATCATATTTGAAATGGCGGACCTGACACAGCCAAATACATACAAGTTAATTTCTGACTTCTCATTATTTAGCTGCGCATTAAGCTATAATGCAGGAAGAGTTGTGGGTCATTGCTTTTCACATACATTTTGTTACACATACCATCAAGATATGCACAAAAGTTGGGCTCTTCCTCATTTGTCATGGGATAAAACCTTTTACTTTTTCAAAGAAATTAGCAAGGAAAATTTACTGGGCAATAAGGAATTCAACCCCTCCTAAAAGGGCCCTTGCCAAGGACAAGGTGCCTCTTTGCAAGAATATTTGTCCCGACTATTGGAATGAACTTGCTCTTCACTGGGAGAACATCTCACAACTTCTAAATCTGCACAGCATTCACCAGGCTGTGGGACCAGCACTAAATAACACACATGACTGCACAGCTCCTGCCATTATATAATTTGGGTTTGCTTGTCCAGTAGAAGCCAAATGCATTCCAGTTAACAGAAGTGTTATTCAGAACAGACACTATCTGGAAATATTTTTCCTACTCTTCCATTTTACCAAATAGCAAGTACAGGGAAGTGGTCACAGCACCAAGCCTGAGTCCAGGAAGGGTTTGGACAATGCTCTCAGGAACATGATGTGATTCTTGGGATGTCCTGTGCAGGGACAGGAGCTGGACTCAATGATCCTGATGGGGCCCTTCCAACTCATCGTATTCTATGATTCTACCTTGTGTTCTTTAGCAAAAATGAATAAAAAATTAAAGACCAAAAAAAAAAAAAGATAATTCATCTAGCTAGGGCACAAGTTAAAATGTTGTTTTCAGAGTGTAGATTTCTCTTTAATAATGAATTGATTCTGCCATAAAATTCCAGTTTTAAAACCCAACACCAAGCTCAGAAGTACAACAAAAAGCCAAGCACCAAGGTTTTATAATAAGTGATTTTGCCTTTATAATATTCCCTTTTTCTTTGGCACAACAGCAAAGTTCCAGTGCTTAGTCAAGATGAGTTTAATTAAACTTCTGTGCAAAAATTTGAGTTTGCAAGCCCCAATTCCATCAATATAAGCTAAATTTAGCTTTCATTTTTGTTCCAATATGACCCACAAAGAAGTGTTCTTCAAATGTGGTATTACAAAAACTTCCAGGAGAGAAGGTCACTCACAGACCTTGAGGAAAGTTAGGCATAGTGACATAATTTATTCTGAAAAAATGGCATATTAACGAAGCAAAACACAACTGTACCATGGTGATTAAAAGAGGTTTTTCCTATCCTCAAAATCATTAGCAGATAACCTTACACCTGCTGAATGAAGATGTTCATCCCCTCTCTGATTTCCTGGTGCTCTGTTTCATGTGATAATGCCAACATAGTCTTGTGTCTTCAGTTTTACGGCTGAGTATCCTCAAAACTACCTCACACAGACTGAGAAAGTAATGTTACACAATTTCCATGAAGTTAGACACAGAGACGAGGGTCAGAGTGAGATCCAAGCTCCTCTCAGTTTACAGAAATAGGGCAACAGAATGGTATTTAATGCCTACCACAGAACAGACCATGACCTCAATAATAAGACTCTTCTGAGCTCAGCTATGACTTGCATTTAGCAATTCCAAGTGAATTCTGTATGCAGTTAAGGATTCTTGCTCATCTTTGACAGTTCTTTGGTCAGAAAGCAAGAAGGTTTGTTTCTGATGTCACACCCATTTGCTCCTCAGAAGGAAACAGGGCTTCTTAATTTAGCACATGGGTTAATTAAAGCAGAGAGGGCTAGGACAGTGAAAGTAGGCAGATGCTATATGTCTGTCTCTTGAAAAAATCTGGGGCTATTGGCAGAAATTTATAGCTCTGTCAGAAAATTTAGCTCTGACAATTCTACTAGTATAAAGGGAATATTTTTTGATGGTTCGCACCATATTAAAACAATAAACTCTGGAACATTATTCACTTTGGTTTATCTCAATCCACAGTCATCCACTAAAGAAAACTCAAGTCATATGCACTTAAGCATCTCTACATCATCTGAATTTACTCACCGTTAAAGGGAAGAAACTTAGTAAGAAAACACTGCAATGATTTGTAGGAGACAATAAAGAAACAAAAGATGAACAAAGACTTTGACATAAGGCTGCTCTATTTCAGACAAGGGACAGAAAAAAAAAAAAAGAAGATAATTGAGAAAGGCACGTGAGTTCTATCCCTACACTATGGTCCTATTTAAAGACACCCTCTTGTGACCCCTTTTTCTTTCTTTCTTAACCCAGAAGCCCTGGAATCACTATCCCCTGGCCTGAAGGACCACATCTACTCACAGAGTTCCAGTTCTGCTTATAATGCCAGAGTCTTAATGTTTATTCAAAACTTACCATCTTTCTCAGATCAGTGCTTTCAATTAAAGTTTTCACCATGTCTCTTTCAAACCCTTCACATACTTCATCATATCCCTTCTACCA